AAATTTGCATAAGAGTGATGTCACTCCTTTATTATCCAAATCAAAATAAGTATCTCCAGTGGCGCCAGACAGAATGGGGACATGCGTTCCTAATCTAATTGCAAAAGGTAGTCTAGACTATTGAGTTGTTTCAATAAGATAGCTCTAAAGTGGCAGGGCTAAGGTTGGATCCTGATCTTTCTGTACCAACTAAAAGGGATAAGACAGAAATGAATTTTAACTATGGTTAGGCTATCCATTGAGAAAGTTATTTATTGTACATGTCGGATATGAGGATGCTCACAAGTTTTGTGGGACCATAATCAGCCTGAATAGCTGAGATGATCAAGAACAAACATCCTGTTGCTGTTTCCACTGCTCTATGCTAGCCCCTTTTCCCTCAACCCCCCATTCCCACTCTATATATTTTTTTTTTAAATGGGAAAAAAACAAAGGCCACACACTTATTTTTTTTATATAATTTTTTTTTTATTTCAACAATGTTAGTTTGGTTCAGTTTAAGATACGAAATTCATTTGTCTTCATTTTTCTTTTCCTTTTTCACACAACGCTGTAAAGAGAGAGACAAATGAATTGATTAAGTTCTGTTTGAAATCACAAATCTCCATTTCATTATTTAATCAGACCTGTTTGAAGGTTACTCACTGTCTTTGGGGTCATAGATGAAGTCTGGTTCTCCTGTGAAACCAAGACACCTCGCCTGCTTCATGGCATGTGCCAGTTCGTGGTGCTTGATATCGTTTTCTTTAGCTGGAAACAGAAATGTAAAATAGATTAAAATGAAGAAATGTTTCAAATATTAAAGGAGTTATTTTCTTTTCTGTTCTTCTTACCCATGAGGTAAAATGCCCGATAGCTTTCGACCTCTGCAATGGTTTTTGGCTCATCAATGTTCATAATGTGGATTAAATTATTGTTGGTTCTGCTGTCGACCGTGTAGAGCAGACATCCCTCACAGGTTGGCAGGGAATGGTACGTGCAGGTGAAGTTGGACTCTAACAGGAAAAAACAAAACCATTAAATCCCAAGCAGACATTGTTTGGCTTGCTCCTAGACTGACTTGAAGGCAGATACATTTACCGGAACTGCAGAACAGTAATGTTTACGATAGTTTCAGAGTCTACAGTCATGCTAGCAGCTCTGTTGGTCTGAGAGTAATGAGCTACATGCTACAATCAATACGGTTACATGCTCCCTGTCTAACAATGTTTTATTGTAAAAAAGTAGCATCCTGTATCATCATATGTTAAATTTTGAGTTTGTTTTGTACTTTTTCTCGTGTATTTGTTTTATTGTTATTATTATGTTTATTAAAATGTTTGTGATGCCCATTCTTGGGCCACTGAAAATCAGCCACTGCTGTTTCATACTGCATCATATCTGACATCACATAAACCCTTCAGGTATATCAAGGCAATAGGACAATATAAACAAGGTGAGATGAATCTGAAACAGGGTCTGTCCTGGTGGACTTTGCAACATGTCCTCTGACTTTAACGTCTCCATTCATCTTTGTTCCTAAACTCTCATACAGCCAAAGGCAGAGTTTTCTAAATTAGCACCCCTACAACTAGCAGCAACAAGTCCTCAAACCTAAACCTTTTTAGGAGACAAACAGTTGGAAGATGTGTTTGACATTTTTGATTGGACAAACTCATACACTGAGTAACAGGACTAACATAAGCACCAGTATGATAGCAGATCAGCAGACTTACTGTCGGTTAGCGCAGAGTTGGAATGGATAGTTACAGGGTGTGATCCGTACTTGCAATGTGTAGGACTAAAATAAAAAAGAACGGATAAAAGATCAGTTCAGACATGTCATTCATATTCAAATATTTTGCTAGAAAAATGATTTCTATATGTTTACATTCCTCTTATCATAGTGATGCAGAACCTGTGACCTATAAGCTTAGACCTCAACCTTGTAAGAAGAAGAATGTGGGACGACATTGGGCTGTTTTTAGCCAACATCAAATCAACATAAAGAAATAACTGCAGATGGTTGTTATGGCTCCTTGTGTTAAGATATGTTTGATATCTAGAACATCGAATGTGTTCAAGGCAAATTCTCTCCTCCAATGCTTGCATATTTAAAAAGTTATGTAACATAATTGTACAGCTGATATTGTACTGCTGATACTCACTGCCTGATCCCAATATCCTGAACAAATTCCTTGTGGTCTGGTGATGTCTGAATGAAGTCAATCCACTGGCTCTTGGTTGTCTTGAACAAGACTCTATGTGGTTCACTAGTAATCCAACCCATGATGAAGATCCACCTTCCGTAACTCTGCAGACAAACAAAAAGTCAATGAGGTAGACAAAAATATCAGTAATTAATCTCAACATAGCTGAATGCTGAACGTAAATTGCATTTGGCTCAAACCTTAATCAGAGAGAATCAGAAGAGGCTTACCGGTTCAAAAGTTGGAAGAGGTGTGATCAAAGATCTGCATTCATCAACGGTCTGAGCGGAGCAGCTCAGGAACAACCCAGCCACCAGGAAAAGACTGCTGAACAACAGATTCATGATGCTACAAATGGTTAGCTTCAGTTTACAACTTGAAGAAAAACAACAAGCAGGAAGCTCTGGCAAAGCTGAATGACTGATCCTCACAGAGCCACTCAGCCTTTATAGAAGTTGCTTATGGCAGAGTTCCAAGTGTCCTGGCTTTTTGACTCATCATATTATAGGAATTTAAAATAAATAATTATTATCTTTGTTCCTTGGAGTTGGTCAGACAATATTTGACTTCAACCTTGTCTCCCTACAGTTAAACAGGAGGTTCTAGGGTGTCCTGAGTTTGTAGGATTCCTAAGGACACTTCAGTTTGCACATCAAACATCACAGATGTGTTGACTTTTCCTGAGCTGCCCCTAAACACAAATACACAGAGAATATGTACCGTTAAAATAAAAAAAAACTTTACCATGAACTCTCTAGTGGTCGGGTTAAAAAAGGTGATGGATAACTTCTCCAAGTAAGCTCCAACAAGCCTCTCATTAGCAACTAGTTAGCTGACTGAAGCCTGGCTCACACTAAAACGTTTTTAACATCCTTCAAACAAAAACATAATGTAGAAAATTGGGAGACCAAAAACATTTACATGAATAATGATAGATTGAACAGTTTTGTAGAGTAAACTAAATTGGTAAGAATTGTTGTTGATTGTTTTTGGACTACTTTTACCTACAGTCTCTGAATGTACTATGGGAGGCATAGCCTTCAGTTATCAGGCCTGCTCATGGTACCTACAGTCTCTACTATGGGAGGCATAGCCTTCAGTTATCAGGCCTGCTCATGGTACCTACAGTCTCTACTATGGGAGGCAGAGCCTTCAGTTATCAGGTCTGCTCATGGTACCTACAGTCTCTACTATGGGAAGTAGAGCCTTCAGTTATCAGGCCCCTCTCCTTTGGAATCCAGAGCTCCCTTGTCTCGTTGGTTCCTCTGGATCATTGGTGTGGACGGCATGCTGACATGCGCCCCTGCGACTCTAACTGCTACAACTATTAATATCAGCCTAACATCTCCTTTAACATCTACTGTATAATTAACACAATCAGTCCTCCCGTTTCATCATCATTACAGTTGCTGAAGTTAATATTAGACTAATCTGGCTCTTATCACACTTAGCTGTTGTTGCTAATTTTTCTAGACTCTGGTTGAACATTAATATAATCTGTTAGTGTGTGATGTACTGTTTTATAACTTGACATTGGTATCCACACACAAAATAGTTTCATCATTATATTTCTACATGTTGGAGGTCTCACACATTTTCTTCATACGTATGTTTTTGTTTAAAGGATGATAAAAATCTTCTATCTAAACTACATGTTCTCTGCATATTTGTGTTTAGTGGCAGCTCAGGAAAAGTCAACACAACGTTTGATGTGCAAACTGAAGTGTCCTTAGGAATCCTACAAACACAGGACACCCTAGAACCTCCTGTTTAACTGTAGGGAGACAAGGTTGAAGTCAAATATTGTCTGACCAACTCCAAGGAACAAAGATAATAATTATTTATTTAAAATTCCTATAATATGACGAGTCAAAAAGCCAGGACACTTGGAACTCTGCCATAAGCAACTTCTATAAAGGCTGAGTGGCTCTGTGAGGATCAGTCATTCAGCTTTGTCAGAGCTTCCTGCTTGTTGTTTTTCTTCAAGTTGTAAACTGAAGCTAACCATTTGTAGCATCATGAATCTGTTGTTCAGCAGTCTTTTCCTGGTGGCTGGGTTGTTCCTGAGCAGCTCGGCTCAAACAGTTGAGGAATGCAGACCTCTGATAACACCTCTTCCAACTTTTGAACCGGTAAGCTGCTTCTACTTCCCTCCTGGGTCTTTAGGTTAGCATTAGCATGAATGACTTTCAGCAGCTTTTTCAGTTTTGGAAATACTGATGTACTGTATAAGATTGACTACCTTGGACTCAGATACTTTGCCCAAAGATTGACATTTTCAGATGGATTCATTATCCTTTTTCTACAGTGAGTGTGAAGCTGTGGTTTTCAATTTGAATCTATTACTAAATCTTATTCAGATCTTATTTCTCTCTGATTCAAGTCTACGTGTTAAGCTATGCTAAACATGTGCTCGTTATTACGTAAACGCTTATTTAGAGGCTACACATAAAGGCTTTTTGCACTTCCACAACTTTTTCCTGAAAGTTCTACTGGTAAAGGATCTATGTGTTTTTAAGAATATGTTACTGTTTCCTGTATATTACTTACGTTTAAGTAACTGCAAACTACCTGCTCAATTAAAAAAACAAAATTGAGGAATCTAAATATGATTTTCTGCCAAACATTTAGAAAATATTTGGCCTTGTTTAGAATGGCTAGGGTAATATTGAAGATGAATATATGATTTGAATCAAGAGCTGAAATATTACAATCTTGAGTCAGCTTTTGATACCCAGTTCTACGCCTGATAAAGGTTTGTACCTTATTGAATTTATGTTTGTCGGCAGAGTTACGGAAGGTGGATCTTCATCATGGGCTGGATTACTAGTGAACCACACAGAGAGTTGTTCAAGACAACCAAGAGCCAGTGGATTGACTTCATTAAGACATCACCAAATGACAAGCAATTTGTTCAGGATATTGGGATCAGGCAGTGAGTATCAGCAGTGCAAATATATCATATATTCATGTAAATGGATAAACATAGAGAAAAGAATCCCCCTAAAACACATTTAACAAACGTTGGTCACATTCTTGTGTCTATACTACTCCATGCTGAATTCTTAATCATCCCAACCAGATTAACTGCTCTACAGATGTTACCAAACAACACCTGAGATACATCCTTTAAGGCACATCAATTTACCTCTTGGGGGATAGATTTTTACATTGATTTGGTGAAGATGTTCTGTTGAGAACAGACTCATAACTGTTACTTTAAGCCTTCCTTGTGTTTGTTTTTTTTTACATATTCCCTTTTCCAATGACATGTCTGAACTTGTCTTTTCTCCTTTTTTTCTTCTCAGTACTACATATTGCAAGTATGGATCACACCCTGTAACTGTTCATTCCAACCTTGCAGCTACTGACAGTAAGTCACCTGATCTGTTTTGGTTATGGAGCTTGTCAATGTTAGTTCTGTTAATCAGTGAATCTCAGTTTGTCCAAATAAAAGGCACAACAGAGAAACCGCCTCTTTCAACCTATATATACCTTATAGGTGAGAGGCTATCTCAGTTTGCCAAAATCATTATATTATATAAGAGAAACATAAATATTAAACATTGTTTTATCAATGTAAATGTTGCTTAGTGCTGTGCTCATGGTGGAATAATGTTGGATCTTTGTAAATAATATAAAACAGTAAGGTTTAACCCTGCTCCTTTTGAAACGTGTCTTGAGATAGCATTTGTTATGAATTGGCTTTATATAAATAAAGATTAGTTGCATTATTTATTGATATCTAATGTAGAAAATGTTAGCATGATAAAAATCTGAACTTAGTTTGTCAACCTGAAGAACAATATTCCAGCATGTTAGCATTGTACCTTTGAGCACATTACCGTACTGATCATAGCATTTATCTCACTCAGCCCAACAGAGCTGCTAGCATGGCTCTAAAACTATCGTAAAAACTCCTCTTCTTCTGGTCAAGTAAATGTATCCACCTTCATTTGAGTCTGGGAGCAATGTCTGCTTCAGATGTAAATGTTTTTTTTTTCTTTTTTTCTTTTAGAGTCCAGCTTCACTTGCACGTACCATTCCCTGCCAACCTGTGAGGGATGTCTGCTCTACACTGTCGACAGCAGAACCAACAATAATTTAATCCACATTATGAACATCACTGAACCCCAAACCATTGCAGAGGTCGAAAGCTATCGGGCATTTTACTTGATGGGTAGGAACAACCAGATTCATCATAACTTCTTTGATACGTGAAACATTTCTTCATTTTAATCTATTTTACATTTCTGTTTCCAGCTAAAGAAAATCATATCAAGCACCACGAACTGGTACATGCCATGAAGCAGGCGAGGTGTCTTGGTTTCACAGGAGAACCAGACTTCATCTATGACCCCAAAGACAGTGAGTAACCTTCAAACATGTCTGATTAAATAAATGTAGAAGTGTGATTTCAGACATAATTTAATCAATTCATTTTTCTTTCACTTTACAGCGTTGTGTGAAAAAGGAAAAGATGTTTGAGATGAAGACGACTGACATCATATCTTTTACTGAACTAAACTGAAATTGTGGAAGTAAAGAATTGTGACTTGAAACATTAAAGGTGTGGCCTTCGTTTTTTCCAATCTCATAAATACATTAAGAGTGGGGATGGGGTTTATGTTAATGGACTGTTGCACACAGATGTAGTAAGGCCTAAAGCAAATTAATACTGTAATACACTTTAGCCAGCAATATTACACACACATCAGATAAACAACAACATTTAAACAACACATAAGAGTGAACACTGATATGATCTCAAAGGTTTTTAAGTGGACCCAGAAGCAGGACCAGAAAACAGGGTAGTGGTTAAAGGGGTATTTATTGAAGTGAGGCTGGTGAAGGCTGGTGAGGCTTGAATGAGAGGCTGGAGCTCATTGGTTGGAGGCACTGGGGAAAAAATAAGACAAGGGAATAATTAGTGACAGGTAATCCAAAGCACAAAAAAGTCTTACTGATACTGAACCGCCGATCTACCACCGTAGAGGCGAACCAGGGTATAAATGCTGCAGCCGGTGATTACAGATGACGAACAGGTGAGTGATTGCAGAGAGCTCCAGCAGCCAATAAGCCACACCCAGCCTCTGAAAGAAAAAAAAAACACAAGCACCAAACCAAAAGCAGACAGAAATCTCCAATCACCACAGAACACAGCACAATCACACAAAAAGCTCACTTGAAAAGGTGAGTCTTCAGCAGTGATTAGACTATGGATGGGCCTGTGAAGTCTTGAATATGTGAGGAGAGTGAATTCCACAGGGAGGGTCGGCTATGGAGAAGGCTCTGTCCCCTCAGGTTCAGGGGTTTCTGAAGTCTTAACATAACGTTGGAGAGAGGAGGCATGTCAAGTTATGAGATTGCCTCCCTCTCGATCAGTCTGAATTGATTTTTTGAATCATAGAGGAACTTTAGGAATTTGAACAAAAAATTACCTATGGCACAATTTCACATTTCAGATGTTAAGCTAACTAACAAGAATAACTGTTAAAAGCAGTATCTAAACACAATATGACATTCTTTAACTTTAGCATTTGAAGGTACGCCTTCAGGTTGGTTTTACGATCATTAACCAGAACAGTAACATTACATGTGGTATACAAGTAAATATCTTTAAAATAAAACTGCATTCAATCAATTAATAATTATTTGTATAGGGCCAATTCATAACAAGAGTTATCTCGAGACACTTCACAAAACAGCATATGGGATAATATGCTGGAGTTCCTGTTGTCTACATTTCCTTGTTGCTGAGGTGGGGTTGGAGCAGGCCGTGCATGAATTTCAGTCTTTTTGGCATTGATTATGGAATTGACGTTATATTAGCTGTATCTCTGCATCTTTTATATCTCCTTCTTCCTTTAACCAGCTGTTTCTTTTCATGTCTGTTCTCAGGTATAACACAGATTAAGTCCTGATCTTTAGGGATTCTTTCTCCTGGCTGGCTTAGATACATGTACTGTATATTAGGAAGGGGAAACTTGTCATTTTGGTGTCAATAGGCTTATTGATATGTATAGTTAAGTATCATCTGGATAACAATTCAAATGTATGGAGTATTTCCTCATAATAAGGAAAAATAGACTGTACAAGGTCAATAGAATCAGTCAAAGAAATACACCTTGTGGCTCAACATGGCTAACTCCGGGTTTGCATTAACATTTACAAAGTGAGATCGATCTGATAAATATCTTGATCTGATTAAAACCAACTTAAAATAAAATGATGAGACTTCAAAAATTGTGAGGTGAGAAATTACTTACATAAATACAACTGGCTGGAGACATTTGCAGAGTAATATTGATCCTTTTAAAGGTGAACTAAAAAAATACCTTATCTGTTTGGCTTTTATGTCGGGTTTTAGAATTTCCTTCATTCTAGTTTTTAACAGTGATAAGTGTTATTTTTCCCTCCATCCATCCTCTTCCGCTTATCCGTGGTTAGGTCACGGTTGCATCAAGGTCAATGTTTTCCAGATCCTTTTGATGGATTCCGAGGGCTTCCCAGGCTGGACACGATAAGTAATCCCTCCAGCGAAACTCTGGGTCTACTGGGTTTACCTGGAAAAGATCCCCAAAGATGCCTTAACCACCTCAACTGGCTCCTTTCAATGCAAAAGAGTAGGGGGTTCTACTCTGAGCCCCTGAATGTCTAAACTCCTCACCCTATCTCTAAGTCTAAGCCCAGCCACCCTCGAGAGGAAACTCATTTCGGCCACATGTATCCGTGATCCTATTCTTTTGGTCACTACCCCTAGCCAATCACCATTGGTGCAGGCTCAGCTCGCTCTTTACCAAAATGGTACCGCAGAACGCCCGCATTACTGCTGACACTGAGCCATCTGTCTATCAATCTCACGGTCCACCCCTCTGGGAACATGTCTGACTTGTGCTGAGGATGTGGACACAGCTCCCACTTTGGTCATACAGGGGTCCGGATGGCTCGTAGCAACGGCCCCGGGACCCCATATTTCCGCAGTACCCCCCACATGATCCCCGAGTTATATTTTAGTTTTATTTAGATATTTAGATATTTTTATTTTTAACTCCTTCTCTTTAAATGTTGTATTTACTTTAATGCTATTGGTATACATTAGTCATTACAACTAAATCCATTTTTGTTTGTAAAATGTCATTATTAAAGGTTCATGTCACTCACTGCAAAGCACTTTGAATTGCATGTGATTTATATGAAAGGTGTTATACAGTTGCAGGAAAAAGTATGTGAACCCTTTGGAATTTCCTAGTTTTCTGATTAAATTGGTCATAAAATGTGTTCTGATCTTCATCTAAGTCACAACAATAGACAAGCTCAGTCTGCTTAAACTAATACCACACAAACAATTATATGTTTTCATGTTTTTGTTTAACACAACATGTAAACATTCACAGTGCAGGGTGGAAAAAGTATGTGAACCCCTAGGCTAATGACTTCTCACAGAGCTAATTGGAGTCAGGGGTCAGCCAACCTGGAGTCCAATGAGACGAGATTGGAGGTGTTGGTTAAAGCTGCCCTGCCCTATAAAAAACACACTCCAGTTTTGAGTTTGCTACTCTCAAGAAGCATTGCCTGATGTGAACCATGCCTCGAACAAAGAGCTTGCAGAAGACCAATGATTAAGAATTGTTGTCTTGCATAAAGCTGGGAAGGGTTACAAAAGTATCTCCAAAAGCCTCGATGTTCATCAGTCCACGGTAAGACAAATTGTCTGTAAATGGAGAAAGTTCAGCACTGTTGCTACTCTCCCTAGGAGTGGCCGTCCTGTAAAGATGACTTCAAGAGCACAGCGCAGAATGCTCAATGAGGTGAAGAAGAATCCTAGAGTGTCAGCTAAAGACAAATCTCTGGCACATGCTAACATCTCTGTTGATGAATCTACGATACGTAAAACACTAAACAAGAATGGAATTCATGGGAGGACACCACAGGGAAAGCTACTGCTGTCCAAGAAAAACATTGCTGCACGTTTGAAGTTTGCAAAAGAGGACCTGGATGTTCCACAGCACTACTGGCAAAACATCCTGTGGACAGATGAAACCAAAGTTGAGTTGTTTAGAAGGAACACACAACACTATGTGTGGAGAAAGAAAGGCACAGCACACCAACATCAAAACCTCATCCCAACTGTGACGTATGGTGGAGGGGGCATCATGGTTTGGGGCTGCTTTGCGGCATCAGGGCCTGGACAGATTGCTATCATCGACGGAAAAATGAATTCCCAAGTTTATCAAGACATTTTGCAGGAAAACTTAAGGCCATCTGTCCACCAATTGAAGCTCAATAGAAGAAAATACGCCCTCTGGAGTGGCCCAGTCAGAGTCCTGACCTCAACCCGATAGAGATGCTGTGGCATGACCTCAAGAGAGC